TATTATCTATGGCCTTCATATCTGCATAAAGTGAGTTTATGGCTGGGTATAAAAATCACTGACTTAAAATTACTTTTCTTGAATATTTTCTATATGCTATTTCATTTACTCTAGACATAAAGCATTGCTCTGAAGTCTCATGATAATCTAATTATATTATTAAAATAGTATCCATTTTAAGGGACTTTGCTTTTTGCCAGGATATGAATGCCCAAAGACTTTTTTCTTTAACATTCAATTTTATTTGACTATGTCTTAAGAGCTGAACATTTTTTATAAGTTTTCTCAGATACTTAGTATTCCCTTTCAAAATATAATGTCAATTTTTTATCATATTGTGAAGGTTTTCTTGAATTATAGTACTTATTTATTTCTTCTATCCTCTCATTTTGTTTGTCTTGTTTGAAGATTCCATTTACACATGTTTAAGTCACCTCTGTCCTCTTGTCACTTATTCTTGAATTTTTTTCCTTTTTTCCTCCATCTGTCTTTCTTTTTCTTTTCTTTGCCCCCCTTTATTTATTTATTTATTTATTTATTTATTTATTTATTTACTTTTTCTTCTTTTAGTCTTCTACTTCTTTTTAGGCATTTTCTATGTGTCTTAAAACATTATTTGGTTTTGCATTTATGTCAATGTAATCTTTGTCTTTGAAATTACTCTTTTTATTTATAATTCTTTTCTGATTTCTATTAAATACATTTTCTAATTCTGAGATATGTTGTTATTTTTATAGGTTGTATTACATTCTTTAGTTTATATAATTTTATCTTACAAACACTTCTTACAACACCTATTATCTAATTTTATCCAAATAGCTATTATTTAACTTTTAACTCTTTTTGTTCTGTGGTTTATATAACTTTTAGGGTTTTTTCTTGTATTTTTATTAGGTTTGAGGAGAAGGAAGAAACAAAGACGTATTTTCAATCTACAACATTTAATCAGCCTATTTTTTTTGGATTTTTTTTCCTTATTGATATATAGAAATTCTATATTTAACTGATTAATTAATCTTTCATTTCTTATATGGGTGGTAAATGTTTACTTTCAGATTCTTCATTGTCATTTAATAAACTATTTTTATCTAATTTGTTAAAATTTTTTTTTTGTTCTTTCCCTTTATGCTTTTAAGATGTTTTATGACTTATATAATGAATTCATCCCTAGTTTATGGACATAATAATATCTTCCCATGTGTTCTAAAACATTTGAAATATGCTTTTCATATTTATATATTTAACTTCTCTGGGATATAAATAGTCATTTTTAGTTACAGTCTAGTCTTTCTTTTTGATTTATGTTGCCCTTCAAGCATATACTGTTCTCCCTTCTTCATAGGTCTTGATTTCACTGTTATTCTCTATTTGTCTCTCTCAATCTCTAAAATGATACCACAGTTTTAATAATAGTTTTGTAGTAACTCTTGAAGTATGGCACATGTAATATTTCTGATTCTTTTGATTCTAAATAATCTTGGCTATTCTTAATCTCTAGCCATCTCAGGTCTGTAAACAAATGAACTCTGTTGTAATTTAGGTTATCATAATTTTTGGAGCTAAAGGTTAATTTGAGATTTTAGAAAGTTACTTCTATTTTCTCCATAAAGATGACATATAATGTCCTCCCATAGAACATTTTCAGATAAAAAGAGAATACATACATATAAAGGCCTCTACATACATACACAGGTAATACACAGCTGCATGTGTTTGCATATAAATAGAATAATTGTAGAGATATACAAATTGGTAGCAATGTTTCTGGGGAAGTAGAGTAAGAAATGTAGATCTGAAGTGAGAGATTTATTTTTCAGTGTAAAAGCTTGTATCTTATGTATGTCTCCTTTCTTCATCCCTCACTTTCTCCCTCCCTCCTTTACTCCTTTCTTTCCTTTCTTGTCTCCCTCCCTCCTTCCCTCCTACCCACCTTCCTGCCCTTCTTTTCTCCTCTCCTCTCTTCCTCTCCTCTCCTCTCTTCCTCTCCTCTCCTCTCTTCCTCTCCTCTCCTCTCTTCCTCTCCTCTCCTCTCTTCCTTTCCTCTCCTCTCTTCCTTTCCTCTCCTCTCCTCTCCTCTCCTCTCTTCTGGTGCTGAGTATTCTGCACAAAGTCAGCAACTACTCTACTACTAAAGCTGTATGCAAGCACTTACTTTTTTATTAACAATCTAATTTGAAGGCTATACTTGATTGGGCTAGATCAAAATCTTAAACGGTGATTGGTGTGAGATTCTTTTTCTATGATATTTTCTTTCTGTTAATATAAAGTACTAGTACCACAGAAATACTGAAAGAGAAAGTTGAACTTTTTCAACTTTCTTGGTAAGAATCACTCTCATGTCACTCAAATATTATAAATAGGAATTAATGGATCTTGCAAATGCAATCGATAATGTCTCTTGTGATATGCGTGTAAAAGGAAGATTAATACATTGCTTGCTAGTCATTTGAAGAGTTTCTATCACCAAAAGGTTGTTTATCATCTAGAATAGAGCCTTGGTAATTTTTAAATACTAAATTAGTGAATAAATACATCAAAATTATTAATTATTACAATTATTTTGTGAATAAGTTACAGTGGTTTGTTGTTGTATGTGATATAGGATTTGGAAAATAGCACTCAGTCAATGTTAGTTACTGCTTTTTAAGATATTATGGACATTATCTTCATTGGTATTACTGTAGGTCTTTGTTTTTAGCCTGATTTTGGATAGTGATTTTTTTGCCAATGATTTGGGTGAAGATAGAAGAGTTATTTATCACTTTAGTGGAATTCATTACTCTGAGATGGATGAAAAGGACTTTATAATATGTTGAACCTTATGAGGTAGAATGTAACAATATATAATTTCCTACACAGGAAAAATCAAATGAACAGTGTCAAGATGAAAGCAGAATTTGCTTAACAGCAGCACATGTAGAATTTTTAAAGAAGTTAGTAGTATAATAAATTATATTAAAATAAGTACTGTTTCTATAATGAGAAGGCTGATGATTGTGCTCCAGTAAGCAGAGACCAACTCTACTTAAGTGTTTATTATGGTCAATGTTAGATATCTTATTTCCTAACAAACAGGTTGGAGAGCATATTTGAAGAATAGTGATTGAGGTGGTGAAAGACCTAAGCTTTTTTCATATTGAAAATTTTTGCTTTGAGGATAAAATGACTCATGGATGATATGGTAGGAGTCCTCAAATGTTTGAAAACAGTTCAAGTGTTGGAGACTTATAATTAGTAAAAGAAAAAATTCTACAGTAAATCAATAGAAGGAAGAAATTTTAAAAAGCTAAAAATGTAGTCAGCTGTTGTAGAATTATTGACCCATGATGTTCGATGGTAGGGTTCACAACCACACGGTGTTTCTGTAGAACAGGATTAAGTGGCTGGATGAGATAACTTCAAACTGGACATTTCATATGCTATGATTTGTTTTGTTTTAGTATAACACGGCTTCAGTTATGGCCATATTTATTATTGGGAAAAATAATCACCATCTGCCTTGATTGATGGACTTGTTCAATAAATTTCAACTAATGTTGCTTTGAATTAAAAAAGTCTATTTTATGTTTACTATTTTGAGACATAAAATAGATAAACGGGATTATGCATTAATTTTCTACAGAGGCTAGCATAGAAACTGATTGGAATCAGACCAAATGTTTGAACTTATTACAGGCTTGGCAATAATTGTCTGTTAGTGGGTAAGTCATAGAGCTGGCCATGTGTCTAACACCCAGTGCTTTGTTTGACACCTGGTGGGCACCTCTTGTTAAAGAATGAGTGACTAAATCCTCTCTTTCGTTGACTGATGGTGTTCAGTAGCTTCTCATCTGCCTGAGAAAAGAGGAAGCCAGTTCCCAAGGCTCTAGTTAGATCACCTTTTAAGTCTTTCCTCACAAATTCCGTACCCTCAGAGTAGAAGGCATGAATAGTAATGAGAGTAATTGAAGTAGAAGTGGCAGTAATTCTTGGGAAGATCCCCTGTAGCAGAGGAAGCTCTCTCTGAGCACTAAGTTGAGTATTTTAGGAGAGTTAGAAATGTTTTAACTAGAGGCAAGTCTCTAGAAATGGGGCAACAGGATGGACTTCAATTTTTATTTCACTGGAAAATATTGCTTTCACATGAACATCTACAGAATATATTTGGAAATTTTTTCAAGTTCAGAAATAACATCTATAAATTATGAGGAAATATAATAATGTAATGACAAAAGGAACCATATAAATTGCACTAAGTTCTAAAAAACATAACCCTCTTATGGAACATACATTTAGCAGGCATTTTGAACTATTTAACTTATTTGGTATCAAGAGCTATATGCAGACACAGATTTGCAGAAGAGTGAAAATCCTTTTATTTAGCAATTTGGAATCATGATCTTTAAGTCATATTTTTGGTAATAATATGATATTGTTTGTTTAATGTATTCTTATCATGGACTTTATTTCAAGTAGCCTTTTTTCCCAAGATCATTATGGATTAGACTACAAATATGTTGCTCTAGAATTTTTGTTTCTAGTAACACAATTTGACCAGGATTTGGATCAGGATTAAGTTTAGTGTATCTTCTGAAATGTTATTAATCTTGTTCTCCAAGGACAGTAGAGTTATGGTTTGAAGGGCTTTATTTAAAGGCCCTTGTTCTACTTTTTATAAACTGTCATGTATTTCTATTTAACAAACTAATTGTAGGAAAAATCACTAATTTCATATTGAAGGTTTTTTTCTTTCTTCTTCATTTCCTTCCTCCTCACATTTTCCTCTTCCTCCTCCCTCTTTTCTTTCTACTATTCTGACAAGCTCTCAAATTCTACTTTCAAAATTCTTCCTCAGCATTCACCAAGAGATAAACAGACCATAAAACATTGTTGTTTCTGTCAAATCAGAACAGGCACAGGAAAATAAAAAAGTTGCAAGGGAACATTTGTCTTAGAAATGTTTTTGTGAGTGCCAAGCAGAACACATTATTTCTGAGTTTAAAAATAACCAACACAACTTGGAAAACATGGTAATATTTATTCATGGCAATAAATGCATTTTAATTAAAGTCATCGATGTCCAAACACAAATTGAATAGTGACAACCCAATGGCCTTTTTGACAAAACCAGGATATTTGTCCCATTAATTTGCTAAAGGATATGAGTGCAGTGAAAGGATGAATCAAAAACACTAAAACCCTTTCAAACACTGTCTACTATAGATATCAACTCTGAAAATGGCATTCAAAAATGGTCCCTTTGTTTTAACTTCAGCTGCTGAGATTTTGTTACCGTACCTTTATACCTTTATTTAAAGCTTTCATTTTTTGTGCCAACAAAATTGCTAGTAGTTTGGTTTGACTTTCCATGCAGAACTAAATTCTGTCACATTAGTACATATTTAGGAAGATATATAATATTTGTAAATATATAAATCTGAATGGGCCTTCATAAATATTATACAAACCACATAGTATATAAGGTTGTCTGTATACCACATAGCATATAATGTGTGACCGAAAAAAACATACATACATATATATATATATATATATATATATATATATGTGTGTGTGTGTGTGTGTATGTTTTAATGCTTGTTCCTAATAACTTTAGACTTCTAAATAAAATTTACTCATTTGGAAAAATTTGAGTTTGTTAGAGATATAAATTTTTTTCATAAGAACCATCAAATCAGATAGCTAAATAATTATCATTTTCTAAAAATTGACTTTATTCTTTCAAAGAGTCATTTGAATCCATTTGATATCATATTAAAATTAAATTCAAAGCAAGTATTTCAAAATAAAAATGTCTTATTGGCAATTGATAACATAGTCATTCTATTTTATCTTTTAAATCAATTTATCCAAACCTGAAAATTAAAAAGAATTAAGTTTTATAAACAAAATTCCAGAAGGAAAAGGCACTTAAGCCCTGCACATGGTCATTCCAATCTGTATTCTCCACAACTCTGACTGAATGGAGTTGCTTTCTGGCTTGCATATAAATACGGTAAAGTGCCAGATTAAAAGCAAATTACAATGCTTATGAAAAAGAATCTAGTCGGCCAACCAAATGTTTCACATCAGTAGGAAATTTCTTTAGTGGCTTCTGATGGAACTCTGAAGCGAGTGTTGTTAACATATCAAGTGCAGGAGAGGTATAAGGCTATTGGAGACATTCCCTTAGTTTATTGACTAAAAAGATAAAGTAATTGCTGTAACAGTAAAGCTTGGTAAGATAATTAAATGAATGATAACAAAATCTCAGCAGGGAAGTGCCCATTAATTGAATTTATTTGGGAACATGTTTTCACAAGTATAACAAATTATCTAATTTTCACTCACAGTAAAAAGTGATAGTCTATAACAACTAATTACTAGAAATGAGGGAAAAGGCCAGTACTGTGAACCAATAACACAGTGGAAAACAAAATTACTAACATCGAAGGACTGCCATGATGTTTGACAGCTTCCTAAGAATTCCATTTGTCATTTTGTCCTGTGAAAATATTTCAGTGAAACTCAGCAAAGAATCCCAGTAATTTCTATGTAGTGGTGTCTTTAAAGCCAGAACACGTTTACTACATTCTTTATATTCTTGCTGTGATTAATATGTGTGTCAGTATGAGTATGCCAACAGGTGAAATAACTGTTGTTGCAGTATATATTATAGCAATAATAATTGGGTTTTGGCTTTTAATTTCTGTGATGAAATTACTGCCACCATCTTTTCCTACTTAGTGTTACATATGGTGAAAGTTTTAAAAAATATTTTTGCAGATTTCATGTTGAACAGATCAAGAAATCTGAATTAAATCATATTTTTAACCAGCTTTTAAGATTGGTATAATCTATACTCAGATTTTTCTGTTTTGAGCTGAGATACACCTAAATTGAGCATTTGTAATGTTTTAGCAAATTTTGTTCCAATTTGCATAAAAGTTGATGAAATTTGATAAATGCCTGCAGTAGATATTTTCACAGTTCACATTTTCAGTAAAAATTTGAAAGTATTAAAACTGTCACCTTAATATCTCTTATCTCATACTCTAATACAATGTTAATCTTTTGATAAATATTTGGAAAAACTTTGCATAAGAGTAAATCAATGAAATAGAGATCATTTTGGCTTAGTCATAGTAATTCTAAGCACCCTTGCCTGGTTATAATTTAATGCAAGGCAGGAAGATCTGAACCAATGTATAATGCCAAAATAGAATTTTAATTTTGGTACTTACTTTTCATCCTAAAGCAAATCATCATCTAAATGAATACACTTTTCAACATATTGCTTAAAATTAAATAACAATGTTCAAGATTTTTCTTGCATTTGAAAATTAAGTTTCAGCTTTAAAAACAGTACATGTACCAACTCTCCATGAAAAATTTAATCATATTTACTGCAAACATCTACTAATAAAAAAATAAAATTTCAAAACAAAGTTCTTAATATTCTGCTGACCATGGGACATCAGTTTACATTCAGAAAACCAGAAGGTATAATTATAAAACTAACAGCTAACACTCATTCACAATGAGTTTATCACATGACTTGAAAATAACAATAAAACTTGGCTGTTTTATCTTCTATAGATGCTATCTTAATTTAGAGAAAAGAGGGGGTTATGCTTTGTTTTCCTAAGTCATTTTCCTAAATTAATGTAAAGTAGATGTCAGATATGTTATACGCAGGTAGATTGATTGATCGATAAACGTAGAGCAGTAAGTATGTAGACAGAAATATGGCCATCAATAAAACACAATTGAATGCTTGGTTTTGTCAAGTGAAGCAATGCATATGAAAGTATTCATTCACATCTTATTTAGTTGGCACTTCTCTTTCTGTTTTTACCTTTTGTTTAATTAATATAGTAAAAGTTTTCTGATTAAACAGTATTTCAGATGCTAAACATTTCTTTTTATTGGTATACATTGGCAGTTCACATTCTAAAAACATAACCACACCAGGCAAAAATTAAATACAGACCACTCTGGATTTTGAAGACTTTTTTGCTTCTAACAGATTTTTATTTGAAATTATGGAGCAATATCTATATTTTACTGATAGTTAATAATTGGGAGGAGAAATTATAATCAAATAAATTCCTTGAAATAATTTTTTTATCTTCTAGTGTCAGTTTAATGCCTTGCTCAGCACTTTAAAATTTTTCTTAGGATAATCTTTTATCTATTACTTTATGATAGTTTAATTATCTTTGCATTATAAACCTAGAAATTTTTATGTAATGCAATATCACATATTTATTTCCAATAGACCTTTCCCCTGATGATCAAAAAATGGAACCTGTGTTTCTAACTGAACCTGTGTTTCTAAACAATTACACTTTCCTTCTACAACACCTTCACACAAGGGGTACTTAAAAATACAAAGCTAGTATTTTTCATCAGTTCCCGAAGCTTAGAAATTTATCACATCAAACCTTCACATGTTTCATCTTTGCTAAGACTTGCCTTTAAACACATAGTTGTGTTTTCTGTAGAAGTCACTTGCATGTCTTCAAAAACCGGACAGGTCTACAGAAATGATTCTTTGAGACAGTCATGTTCCTTTTGTTTTTGTATTTGATTTAAAAAAAAGACAAAACAGCAATAAACATTTTAGCTCTTTAATGAGCAAAGATCATGTCTCTTAGCATTTGACTAATAGTCATTATCCAGATTATCTTTATTTCACGCAATGACCAGTGACATGGCCAAGATGTACAAAGTTGTTTCCATCAAGTAGTATACAATATTTTTCTTTTGTATAATAAGCTTTCATTCTTGAAAAAGAGTAACTGAAAAGAAAGGTTTCTGTTACTGCAGTTAGTTTGTCAGAGAAAGTTCTTTGCATTATCTTACAAACTATCAAAATTGCTAGTCATCTGAAAAAATGTAAAAAAAAATCACATAACTTTAGTCTAATAGAAATATAGTACAGGTAAGAGAGAAAGTATTTGTCAGGATGTGCTCTTTAAGTCCATCTCTTTTTTTTAATATAAATGTACATCTGATTACATATATAAACATTTGGAAAGGTCTGTGATATACTCATATTATTGGTAAACAACAGGGAGATGAGTTTCCTGTGATCTTAGAAATTCATTTAAAATCACACATACGTGTAAGACTAAAATCTTCCAGGTGTCGACTTTCCTAGGTTCTGTTTCTATGTTGTACTCTACTGAGATTGTGTGAGTAAATTCTAGTGAATGAACCTCAGTGAGAAAGTTAAGTGATGTGAAGTGGGACATAACTTTACACCGAATTATTATTATTAAACATTTTGTCATGCAACATGAGTAAATCAATTAACTGAGAACTGTGATCAGAGTGATAACATTGGGGTACCCTCATATCATAAAAGACTGTTGCAAGTAACGCTTTGGACACACTTCACCTTGCCAAAAGGAACAAAATACAGAGTAACAAAATCCACAGCAAATTATAGATCCTGTAACGCATGTCCAATTAGGGTTATATTTCTATAAATGATTTAGATGAGAATGAAAAGAACATTAAAACACAGGAAATTTTTTTTGGATTCATATCAGCGAGTATCATCACTATACCTATAGTTTCTTCAAATACCTTTAATAACTAATCCCTTCTATTATTGACACTATTGTGACTTATTTTACTGTAATTACTTTTGCCCCTTAAAATCTTCTTTAGGTTCTGCCAATTGATGGAGGAAGCTTCTATTAAAAACTCCAATGAGATGAGAAGAATTTTAATTACGGCTTAATCAGCAGCACAGCCACCAAGCATATAAATTATCATGCACATCGTGCTAAAAATATCCAGTTTCCTTTATCCCAACAACTTTATACTGACAGCACTTATGTGATAATGTTGTACCTGCCAGTCTTTAAACTTCTTTGTTTTACTGGCAGATTTCAGCATGAGCCTCTGCTAAGGCCATTAACAGCATTGGTGCTTTGTGTACTTATCCAAATATGTAAATATGGTCTACACAATAAAACGGCTCCAAATAAAAACTGGTGAAAATTATCTGATATTCCATTGGTGTGTCCCTTGTGCATATTCATAGTTGTTTTTTAATTTTTATTTTTTATATTTCAGACATAGTTCTTTCCTGTTTGGTGTTCCACATGCCTAATTCCATTATGTAACTTAAATCTTCAAAAAATTAATTCTTGAATGTGAATGAAAAAGTATCATTCAGAACAATTGCTTCAAGCAATTGCAATTTGTTTTTAAAGTTGATTTGTGTATATATGTACAATTCATATTTTCAAAACCCCCAAAGTTCTTGATATGTATATTCACATAATATTCCTCCTTATTTAAATAGCGAGAGTCTTGTAGGTTGAAAGCCAAGGAATCTTCAGTAATCTTTTACTGTAATCCATCAAAAAAATAGTTTGTTTCTCTTATCTGGCTATACCCTGGTTGTTGAATGTGAATGGGGGTGGGGATGGGGGTGGGGCAGAGTATTGTTCTGTCCTCCAGTAAATGTATTGAATGTGTGTAAGGGCTGAATCCCTGGTATAGTGTTGGGAATCATCGTAATGGTGTTGGGTGTCATTAAGGGAACATCATCAGGTGATCTTCTCATAGCTAGTGTGTAATCTGGGGGGCAGGCGGTCCGAAGAACCACCTCATGTGGATGGATGGACTCACATTCATGATCCAAATCAGTGTGCTTCATTTGGAGAGACATAATTTCCTCTTCCTGGGCATGGGTCAGGTCATTGGTAGTCGTGCGCTGAGGGCTGCACCTTCGGTGAACATCATGTCTCCTCTTATCCTTTTTGTAGTACAGGGCTGCAAAGGCCAAGATGTTCAGAAAGAGCAGTGATGCTCCGACTGCAATAGTGACACTGAGCTCTGTGGAGTAGTCCCTTTGATCCACTGAAAAGGGACTTGGTTGTTGTTTGGGATCATCTTGCTTGGCCGTGGGAAAGGCGGATGTGACAGGTACAGAATTTTTTCTTGTAGGTCTGAGAGTGATGTCAGTCGATGGCACTTTAGTTGTTGTCGAGGTATACTGAGAAATGTCATTGAGATTATGCAGATGAGGTACCAGCTCCAACCAGAGGTTCACCTTATTGGCTCTGTAATGCTCTTTAACCCTTGGTTTTAATCCAATATGGAGATAAAGTTGGTCTTTCTGGGAGTATCTGGTCCATGCTACTTCTTCAAAGCGATTGGGTTTAGTATGGATGAATTTTGTATCTTGAGGAACTGGTTGATTTGGGTCACTAGTAAAGAAAAAAGAAATTATAGAACAAATTTTTAAATATTTTTCTTAGTCAAAACACTATTAGTTAAATATCTAATTGACGAGGCAATTTAGCAAGATTTTTAGATTATGTTTTAACATTAACTTGTTACTTTGGACATTTAAATCTCAAAACAGGCAGATTATTAGATGGGTGGTAATGTAAAGCAAGAAGTTTCGCATTCTTTGCTCTTTCTGCCCATTTAGTGATGGGCTACTATTTACTCAAAGATTTTTCAGAATTATTTAAATTTTCAAATATTTGTGAGTTGTCTCCTAGGCAGTGTTGTAGGGATGGCATGAACAGACTTAGGATTTGGAAATGGTGGATAAAGATTTGAGTCCTGGTGTGGCTACTACATACATAACATGTGAGTTTTTATATGAAGCTCATAGAGCCTCAAGTTCCTTTTGTGAAAATGAGATTAATTTTATTTGACTTGCCTACCTCAAGTTGGAATAATCCAAGAACATACAGTATTATGAACTAGAAAACTATGCAGTAGTATTTTTTTGTTACTGCCTAATTAGAAAACAAAAATATATCCTTTGTAATTAAAAAACCAAAGCATATTTAGTTATTGAGTAATGCAATAAAGGTACATCTTTCTTAATAAGCTTCTGAAAGGCAATAACTCATAAAGCAATGACTTTTAGAGATACAATATAGAATTAATGTTGTATAAAGAAATTTAATATATTGCTGAATGACCTATTAAATTATTGGGAAACAACATTCATTTAAAAAGATACTTAAAAGAAGGTTTGTATTAAAAATGTAGTAAACTGCATTCCTTAGGTACTTACCCAGTTTTAGCAAAATTTGTCCAGTAAGTCATTACAACTGCACTCAGCATCACATCATTTTTGGAGAAATTGCAAGGAAATAACTCTGTAGGACCAATCATGGGTATTCCTAGTACATACGGAACCTCATCTCCATGGGCTGCATCAGCCCAAGCTGGAACCTGATCTGTTTGGCAATGATGGTAAAAAGCATAGAAGTATGTGGGTGAACCAAAGTTTGAGTGAAGATCTGCCGTGGCTACAGCTGGTGCCACCCACTGATGGTCCGTAAACAAAGCCAGTAATGTCTTCCTTCTGGTTTCAGGGTTATGCCGGTCAGCCCAATCGGTATACATGAATTTAATGGTTTCTCTCAAAACGTCTTTGCCTTCTGGATATCCATATAAATTATCAACAAAATTGGAAACAGCAAAGTCAAAATCACTAGCAGATATACCATCATCACTATCTACTATATTTTCAACAAATTTTAACCCTTCCCCTTGGTTAACTCCTAACATTATATCATAATTGAGAAACTCTCCTTGTTCCATCAATATCTGAGGATCATCTGGTATTACATCACCATCAATCACAGGTCCAAAGGCTATGTGGTATCGGGCTGGTTGAATATCTTGATCAACAAGTTCCTTGTAAGGCTTCTTCTGGAGGCATTCCACTAACTCTACTGTATCTGAAACATTGCAGCCAACTTTTGTGGCCAACATTCTAGCATATTTTGCAGGCTGGAAACTAACAGCCCAGCTGGAAAGGGCTGTTCCACTTTGAGCTATTGCTCGTTGGAAAAGTCCTATGGGAAAATCAACAAAGAGTTTCAGATGAACTTGAAAAATGTTGCACCAAAACAATAAAAACTGATATTTTGGACATATATAAAAACCTAGAGAGAGAGAGAGAGAGAGAGAGAGAGAGGGAGGGAGGGAGGGAGGGAGGGAAGGAGGGAGAGAAAGATTGATTTTTGCCTAAGATAAGGCACACAAAGTCATCCCCAGGGTATAATGAGTCAGAAATGCGGACAGACTTAGATCCTGTGCTTTGAGTGGCATCTGCTTGAATGGTCAAGAGGTCTAAATTTTGCAGAGTTTCAAAAAGGCAGTAACCAAGGAGAGGAACAGCTGTAAATACTAGTAAAAATCAGCAAATAGTTTCTTCAATGAGCATGAAACCACATATATTATCAATAGCAAACAGATGGAGAAAATCCCCTCTTTTTTGACTCCCCATCAGACTTGGTGTTGTTTGAGACATATGCTTCAATTTGACTGTATCTGTCCTCTTTGAAAATGATTCCATGTGTTTGTTGTAACCAGATGTAATCTGAAAAATAATTGAAACCTCATACAACTATTGGGGCTAGATATTTGTTAATATCCTGGGGATGGCCCTAAAGTCACGCACAAAACAGAATATCACTTTAGACATACTCTTCATACAGACCTTCATATCAGACATATTAGACTGATTATTCAACTTTCAGAAGGAGACATAACAATTAAAGTGTCTTCACTAAGTCAAGGAAAAAACCACCAGCGGAAGGATTTAGTGAGGGGAGATTTAATTTTTTTCACTCTTGAATGTGTCCTGCTATATTTTATCATAAAATATGAAACATACGTGGTCTACTACTTTTTACTTAGTTACATTTAAGAAATGTAAATTTTGGCCCCCATATGCAGTTTGATAAGAGCTGCATGTCATGGAATTTTACAATTGCAGTTTTCTACTTATTAGGGTATTGTCTAAAAAAATTAGTGTTTTAAAATAAAATTTATCCATTTCCTTTTACATTTATTATCAATTTCTAGATGTAGCTTTGTAGTTCAGCTAGTTAAAAACATGCTAAATTATTCATATGTGATGAGAAAATAATTTCACAGAAGTGTTAATGCACCGTTTGAGTTAGAGGTTTCAGATTTTTCTCCAAACACACAAACACATATATATATTAAAAATACTGTAATTTGACCCTAAATAATTCTAAAAATATTCAAAGAGATAATACTAATTCAAATTTGTGCTTTTCTGACATCTTTATTAATATGTTTTAGATCAATAGAGAAAAATATGCTAAAGCAAATATTAAAATACCAAAAATTTAAAAAATATACAGGCTGTCAACATTTTGCTCAGGCAAATAGTTTATAAAATCAAAATTTTATAGCTAAAAGATGCCTGATGATTTTTATAATATTCTTTACCATTTCAGGGACTCATTGGCATTAACCAAATATGCCAAAAATGATTTAAAGTAAAATGGACGTCATGTTGAATACTGGCTGAAATTGCCATTTAAGTGATATTGGGAAAGCCATTTATTTTATCACCGGTGAGAATGCTTGTTAAGTGTATGCAAGATGTAATTGATGCATGGCTGATGCAGGTCTGAGGATGGCTGTAGCTTTTTGTGGAGTTTACAGCCTTTAAAACCAGTGTCTGTGTTGGAGGCAGAATTGAACAATTTCAAGAGCTTTCTCAGCATCTCCAGGTCAAGTCAAGTAGCTCATTCTGGAGATGGGTTTAGGATAAGATCAAATATAAGCCTATGTCTCTGACCACGTATAGACAAATTTTCTTAAAGATTAAGGTAAAGGGCTACTGTTTCGAATCTTTTCATAACCATTCCCTACACTGTCAATTGTTGAACAGCAATGCTAGCTGATGAACTAACTGATACATGTAACACTAGTCTCAACTGAGACTGGTTTTGTGCTCACTTTTGATAAAATGACCTGGAAGTTTAGGCAAGTTGTTATTTTGCTAATTTAGCTAAATATTGGCACTAATATAGTTCTAAAAGTAGAACAGTGTAATCTATTTATTTTATAAAAGTCCAAGTTAGTTACTTCAAAATAAGTCATTTCATTACAGATGAAAATTTCTACACAACTCAAAATGCTCTCATCTGCATCATTTTGTCATCTCAACTCAGAATCTTACTAATATAAAAGAGATGTTATATAACTATGTCGATAAATTAAGTCTATAATGAGACATGATTGTCTATATAAATATAATATATACATATATAACTATATATGTATATATACACTCATTTAATGACTAGCTGTTCTTTTGGATTTCCACATTACTACTATATCTTTGATAACTACAACAAATATTATATATCGTAAAACTCAATATTACATTTTAGATGCTTCATAAATTATACTTAACAGTGAATAATTAAGTTAATTTTATATAAAATGACAATTGAGAAACAGAAAATAAAAGATGTTCTGTGTTGATGCATATTCTCTATTGTCCTCTCTACTACACATAAATAATGGAAAATGCTTTGCAGACTTCTTCAGAAAAAGTCTTCTCTTCATGTAGATATTTCAAATTAATAATACAGTTAAAATGGGTGATTAAACACATGGTAAAATGGAGCCCATAAAGAACAACAAGATGTGCCTTGGACAGGCAGTTTGGATGTCAAAGCCAGCCAATGGATACAAGTAAAATATTTCATGGATTTAAGCAGCCTCATTACTCTATGCTGCTATGCCAAGCTTTAGGGGAAAAACCACTTTTGGAGTTGAAAATAGAAAAAGCACAAAATCAAATGTATTTTTCTTTTTTAATCAAAAGAACTGACCTTGATGCTTTGACAATTTTGGATCATGCATGCAAAATAATCAAATAGCCATTCTCTTCTCAGATAACAAGTGAAATCACATGTTTCCAGACAAACTAGCTTATGGCTGCTTCATTAGTTTCATACTAATAAAGGGCTTTAAATATCTATTATCTTGAAAATAGATTATATACAATCTCTGTGTTAAAAAACTGCTTTGATTTTGATTATTGAATAAACAGAGAAGACAGAACTGTGAATATCTTTGCCTGATTTTCTCTGAAATCACCCTTTGAAAGAAAGAAAAATAACTCTAATGCTAACTATTCTGAAGTGTGCTTGAAAGGCATTCTTACCAAGCTACACAGGAGACAAAGAAAAATGTGTGACAAAAATTTAAACATGCATAGAAAAGCTAAAGAAACATAGTTTCAAACAGTTATTGAGTTCAACCTAACACTCAGTTTGAACAGAGAAATATATACAGAGCATCACATACTACTGATGGTGGTGGCATGCAGACACCAAAATTGTCAAAATTTGCAACCTGCATAATACCTTTGGTTGAATTGCTCCAACGGTTACCTTCAGAATAATGGGATAAAGTCAGCAGATTGACACATGAACCCCCAGCGCCTGATCCAAAAACAGTGATTCTCAAGGGGTCACCACCAAAGAATCCAATGTTTTCACTAGTCCATCTTAAAGCCTGTATGAGATCAAGAAGTCCATAGTTTCCTTTTGCAGCCTGGTCCCCTGTACTCAAGAAACCTGAAAAATACAAATAGAAGGATGACTTAGAACATTTGTAGGAGCTGACATGAATTAAATAGATACTAAATTTAAGTGTGAATGAAGACTGTTAATACAGTGAGTACAGTCCAAGTTCTTTTTTTTTTTTTTGGTACCGGGGATTGAACTCGAGTCCTTGCGCTTGCGCAGCAGGTGACAAAACCACTGAGCTAAATCCCTGGCCATAGTCCAAGTTCTTTAGTAAGCATTATTTCCCACAAGATAAAATAATTTGTCAGGAAGAACAGCAGAGATTGAAACCTGAAAAATAACATTTATCTTTCCAAATGCTTCCCAAGTTATCCAGGTGACAGGTCACTGGTAGACAAAAGAAATGAAAACATTAAAAAAGATCTCAAGGGAGAGATTCCAGAGGTCAAGTTATTGATGAAGATACTTCAGAAGCATTACGGGATGTATGAGAATGTGCATTTTACATTATACATCACACCAGTCCTGAAGTTGCTTGTAGTCTAGCATGGTCAGAATTTAAGTTTTGTGTGCTAGAGCATAAATGAGTATAGAGAAGGAGTATGGCTCCAAATCTTATGGGAAAAGAGTTCTAACAATTCTATAAGATTATGTACAACTCTTTGCATGTATATGCATCTGGATATTTTATTGATGATGGCCCACAGTTAAGAAACAGTCCTTGAGACCACATTTTGTATCACCTTCAATGCCAAATTGAGCAAAGTTGCTCAATTAGCATAGTGTAGAGTAATTGGAGGTTTTAAAAATACTTCATTTTTTAGTAACTTCTGGAATTCTGATGGCTCTGCTTTATAAAGAACCTGATAATGGAGACCAATATTATTAAATAATACAATTCAGGCAGAAGAAAGATGAAAAGCATTTGAACAGACAGAATGGCAAATAATTGAAAAAAGAAATGGATAAAAAAGATTTAGGAAGTAATAGCGGAGAGGTTTTGTTATTTATGGGAGTTGTTGAGGGAAGAGGCAGAGATAGTACTGTAGTACTTCTTTTAACATATTTATTTTGCTAACAATAACTTTTTTTATTCATTAAGTTTATCGGTACATTGCAGATATACAATATAATGACATTCATCATTGGGGATTTGTACCTGTACATGATATATCTTGGTTCTCATTTTTTTCCCCATTCCTCTGCCCTCCCTTCAACCCCTCCACCCCTCCCTATTTACAAAGACTTTGCTTCCATTTTTTCCTTTTTTTCCTTTCCCTTCTTTCCTTTCATCTTCCTCTCCCACTTCCCCTTCTCCCTCCCCTTCCCCTTCCCCTTTGGACCTTTTATTCCTATTTCACATTATCTATTATACATAGCTTTTATAATCTGTTATAATTACTTACAAAACAAACATTTGTTTCTTCTATATTTTTGTCATAAATGGAAAAATGTTTCAGGAAATATTACACTTTATAGACTATTAATATATAGAAAATATTTAGAGACATATTGCACATAAAATGACCAATACTATACAAGAATATAATTCCCAATATCAACAAGTTTAGAGAAATAATTTTTAAAAATCAGTTTTTTCTCTGCTATTGCAGATATTATAGAAACAACATAATGGGTCATTGTTTAAATAAAAAGATATTCAATTTTAAATTTATTTTATAAAATAAATGAAATCAATTGTATTGGTGAAAACAATACTATGACAGCAGTACTTGTCAGTTGAGTAAATATATCTATAACCCAAATGAATACATGGGCAAGATATTTTTTAGGATTAATATAGGAAGGAATATACAAAGGCACATCTTCCTAAATACTTTTGAAACTAAACGTCTTTTATTCCTTCTTTTCCTACAAGATCCAAAGTTCTAAATAATATAAGTATAATCTCTAGTTCATTGTGTATATATGTGTTTAGATAACTCTGGAAATATTACTTATCCTTAAGTTCAAGATTAAAGTTTTACAAATGTATTTTGAACAAATATATTTTTCTGGTTATATCCACTTATTGAATATGCATAATAAAGGAAATTTTCATGGTGTTTTCTTACACAGAAGCATTGTCAAATATTCAAAAGATAATACAGTACAAAATAAAAGAATGACAGGGAAGTCTTAACTTTCCTTGCCATTACATGAACTTTGATATAAGAACCACTAGTTTATTTCTGAAGGATTCTGTTGGAAATGTTTTTATCTATGAAGATAGATTGATGACATCAATCTTGAAAACATCAATATGGAAGGTTTAGTAGTAATTGACTAGAAAGGATAAAAGGTGGTAAGGAGGTTTTGTATGTGTGTCTGTGTGTATTTGAAAAGAAAGAAGGACAGAGGAACAGAGGGACTGGGGGGAGAGACAGAGAGAGAGAAAGAGAGAGAGAGAGAGAGAGAGAGAGAGAGAGGGAGAGAGAGGGAGATAAGATCACAATACTAAAGCTCTAGGTAGTGTATTACCAATAATTGTATAGTACCAATACACTGAGTTTAAAATTTGAATTTTGAATATAACTAAGCCACTCAGCACAACATGAGGATTTGCATTTAACTCCTCTTGAAATAATGTTGAATAACTTTACTGAATCTTTACAGCCATACAAAATTGAATTGTTAATAATCCTCATTCAATGTTAGCAGGTAGAGAACCATAGTAATAAGATAATTAACTCTGCCTTAACTAAATAGTATCTCCTTTATAATTCTAGCTATAGTTGCAATATTTTCATACATCTGGTTGATTGGTCAATTAATTTGATATTTATATAACAATATTGTATACTTGCCTAATATGTGCAAGGCTACAGGTTCAATTCTCAGCACAGCAGAAAACAAAAGTTAGCTTTATATAACACTAATATAAAACATACCAAGTCTCTGAAGAGTGACCTCTACTTTATACATAGTCAAAAGAAATTGTTTAGTGTCTTGAAGACAACAGTTTTAAAAAAAATCAATTTCATTCAAAATAACACTATTAAACTGTAGCATGGAAGACGGAGTAATTGATCCAGTTGAAGTTATGTCCTAGTCTTAAAATGACTATTATTATTTCATCAAGCTCCATTTTTACTCATCAGCACTGAATTTCCCTCACTCTTGATTATATTTCATGTGTAGGCTGTAGTGTCTATCTATCTACCTTTTTACCTATCTATCTATCTATCTATGTATCCATCTATCTTTCAATCATTTATCATCTATTTATTATCTCTATCATCCACCTATCTATCATCTATTTGAAAGCATATGATCATTAAGATGAATTTAGAGAGCCACTTTGACTTTTATATTAGGGAAAAAGAATAGCTATTGCCATTATTTATTTATTTATTTATTTATTTATTTTTTCTGGGTACCAGGGATCTAACTCAGGACCTTGCACTTGCCAGGTAGGCACAGCGCAGCTGAGCTAAATCCTTGGCCACTATTGTCATTATTAAGTTCAGCCAACCAATCAGATCATATCTCTTCAGAGCTAGTAAACTTGTCACTACCATACTTGCACAGATATTTTGATTTCTGATGCTATATTCAAAAAGCAACCTGTGCCTCAGCAAAGGGCAAAAATGAGAGAAATAAAAATAAATTACCAGCCCAAAAAGACAGATTGTTAATTACCCAAGCGATCTATATGCATTGGCAACATTCTGAATAACTTGCTATCCAGTGGAGTACTCATTTAAAGTTCTTTCTTAACTGACTTAGCTGCTACACCCTTAACAGAAAAATTCATTTCAGAGCACTCTACTGGAGCTTCACATTGAAATGCTCAAGTATAGTTCAGACACAGATGAACTCAATTTTGCAGAGGCCAGATAGTGCTGCTGACCTTCATGATTACTCTGTAGAAGGAGTTTCCCTGAAAGTCACTTAAATAAGTCTTAAAAGGTAGCTACCAACCTTGCTGAGCCTTTCCAAACCTTCATTGTCAGCTTGTACAATATGTAACTAATTGATGTCCTAACACACTGGCATTATTTTTGTAAGAGTACAATAATGACTGCAAAAATATCTATCCCTTTTCCAAAGAGAAGCAGCAGAAATTTCTAGAATAAAACCGACTAATTTACTTGAATAACCACTGTAAAATCTTAAAAAGTGAGTGCTTGTAAGGACTAACTGTCCAAATTCATTACTGAAGTGATACTGAGAACAATTTCATTACCTTTATGTATCCACTACAATAATCACTGTGTTATTTTCTCAAACAGATACTAGATAAAGAAAGAACTCACAGGTCTGGTCTCCATTGCTTATGTCTCTGTTCTTAACCTTGTCTTCAGGAAGTTCTTGTTCAATTTTCTTGGTCTGCATGTCAAGAAAAGTTTTCCCAGCTTGCCCCATGTTGGGCCTTAATATACTTCTTGCCCCTCTGATTCTGGGCAATAAACATGATTTGAGAACCAACACATTTCTTGTATACTTTGAATAACTGTTCTCACAAAGAAGAGAAAAAAGGAGAATTCTACCTTTGAAAAGAATTATTAAGTGAAAAGAAATTACTCTATTTCTAACTTCTGATTATTCACCGTATAGTGGTTTAAATGCATAGTTCACCTCAAAGTATGGCATTACATTGGCTACAATGACTACCATATAAGACAGACCTTTGGGAACTGTGCAGCTCCTGAATCGTACTATGTAACTTCAGAAACAATGAAGACTATGCAAATTTTGAAAATTTCTGTTTAATGTTCATTTTTGTATTCTCATTGTTGCATAGGTATATGTGCTTTGTAGTATGTTCTTATAATTTGTTTGTATTTTTTACTTTTTCTAGACTAGGAGCTCCATTCCTTGTGTTTGTCCCCAAATGGCCATTCTAGACATGTTTGCTGAGTGAAGAAAGACATTCATGTATTGTAATTCTCTATCATCACATGAAGATCAACAGTTAAGATTCCACATGAAAGAGGTATATGTGTCTTTCTTGGATGGAAGCAATGATGTGGGAAATTAGGAAACAACCCTCTTTGCAACCAATCTAATTGGGAAGTAAGACACTGTGGGTTGTAGTAGCTTTA